AAAAAAGAAAAAAAGCCCTTTTACATGTGTTACCTCTTCATCTCCACAAAAGTCCTTACTTAGTCAAAATATGCCACATAGGCCAGGTGCAGTGGCTCACACCTGTAATCCTAGCACTTTGGGAGGCCAAGACAGGCAGATTGCCAGAGCTCAGGAGTTTGAGACCAGCCTAGGCAATGTGGTGAAACACCATCTCTACCAGAATACAAAAAATCAGCCAGTGTGGTGGCAGGCGCCTGTAATCCCAGCTACTTAGGAGGCTGAAGCACAAGAATTGCTTGAACCCAGGAGGCAGAGGTTGCAGTGAGCCAAGATTGTGCCACTGCACTCCATCCTGGGCAACAAAGCAAAACTCTATCCCCCCAAAAAATTATATATATATATCTCACATAACTGACGGAACCCTGGGTGAGCACTTCTCCCTGAGCTCATTCCAATGGCTATTTTTTCCTAGAGAATTCCTCCAAGATGTCCCTTCTACAGTTCAAATATCCTTAAGTCCTCAAACAGCTGGTCTTCGGTCAAGAAATAGTTTTAATATTTTACCTCCTTTATCACCCTCCTCCACACACACACAATTTGTCAGTATTTGTCTTAAAAGGTCGTGCCCGTATGTAAGTGAAAATTTTCAGATGTGTTGACGTGTTCTAAATAGCGGTGGCCGGCTTCTTCCACTTGACAGCCTACTTCTTTTGAAGCATAAAATTGAATGAAAGTTTGGAGTGACACATCACATTTCTGCATGCTATTGAACTTAAATCCAACTTCAGTTTTATTTAACCCCTTTCCAAGTAAGATGCACAAGAGAATAACAGTCTATCCCCCTAAGTGTTAAAATAGAAAAAGGATAAACAAATACATCCTTGTTTAGGTATAGGATATTTCCAGGAGGGCATGTCAGAAAATGTGGACAGTGGATGTCAACTTCTAGAGTGTAGGGAAGGGACGTTTCTAACCCTTTACTGTATACCCTTTAGTACTACAGTCATGCATCACCTAAGGACAGGGATACGTTCTGAGAAATGCATTGTCAGGTGATTGCATCATTGTACAAATACCATAGAGTGTACTTACACAATCCTAAGTGGTGTAGCCTACTACACACCTAGGCTACATGGCACAGACTATGGTTCCTAGCCTGCAAACCTGTACAACAAGTTACTGTACTGAATACTGTAGGCAATTG